ACACGAGGTAGAAGTCAGAATGTGAAAGAAAGTTAGGTGGACATGGAAAGAGATATTATTTTTAATATTGATACAGGAATGTAAGTATTAGAGTGATAGATAAGTTGACATATTAGAATATGATGATCAGAAACTATTGTACAACACTAGCACTGTTTAAAATATATATATTATTCTGTTTTCACTTTTGTTTTATGGTAATTGGAATGCCAGGATAATTACACTGTATTCAATATATTTACATGTAAACAACAAAAATATATAAACTGAGTAAAATAGACAAGAAAATGGTAGGACAACTCTAGAAGAGTTTATATCACCAGGATCAGATGGATTACATCCTAGTTTTGTAAAGAAGCTGGCCGATGTGATCTCAGAACTATAGAACCATATCTTTCAAAGATCATGGAGCACCAGAGAACTCTAGAGGAAAAAAGTGAAAAAATGGACTTTCAGTTTACGTTGCGGTGGGAATGGCTGGAGAATAGCAATGCTCCGTCAGGCTTCATGAAATGCAGCCAGAAACTGCTTGCCGGAGACCCTACAAGGGTCAAGCCGCCCTGGATGGTGAAAAAAGGAGAGGCACTTCGCCAATTACAAGAAAACTGCTATTTCCTTATTGATCCGAAGAAAACTCTCCTGAACAGCAGCAGGCACGACAGCCATTTTGGTCAGTCACAAGCTGGGACAACCAGGATACTAAGATCTTGTGCTGGAACAGGGTGTGGACAGAGCAATGAAACTGGGTGAGATAACTTCCAACTTTACCTTAGAGATTTAACCCAAATAAAAAATTCCAAAAAATAATCTCCAAATGTTAAGAAAGCAGCGATTGGATTTATGGAGAAAGATTAAAGATTAAAGACTCAGGTGTAAAAGAAATATCTAAAGGATGTTTTAAAACACAGAAAACCTGGAAAAGTCGAACAACATTGTGAAAAGTAATTACTGACAGATATTTGATTTTCTAAACTCTATCTTTAACCCCTGTCAGCTGTTTTGACTTTTACACTCTGTTGAAAGCTGGAATTGGGGCAGGGGAGCCATCTACTGAAGGAAAAAGATTACTGCAATGTGGGAAACTTAAATGAAAGTGATGTAAGGAGAGAAAGTAAACAACACCTGGAAGGCTATTTGACCTTGACTTTATCTTAGTAGATGATTTGGATGCTTGGAAATATTTAGTGAGCTTTTTGAAGTTATATAAGGTAAATTGAACTGTAAACACTAAAAACTTTATTGAAACTGTGCACTGAAAAGTGGATTTGAAAGATTTGAGGAAATCTGGTGGGCCAAGTTGGATTTGGATTATTAACATCACTTGACAGATCATCCTACGAAGCAAAAGAAGAAAAATGATAGAAGGAAAAAAAGAAAAAGAAGAAAAGACAAATAAGGCTTTAAAATTTGGACAATTGGGAAGGTGTAAACTGGAAATTATAAAGACTGTGAAGCATAAATTTATAGCTTTTAAGGGCTAGAAATTTAGGAGACTTGGATGAATAATTTTGGGATTCATCAAATTTTATTAATAATTGACTTTTTGGAGTTTTTAGATATTGGGATACTGGAATATTATATATATATATTGAGTAATTTTTAATATATTAATTTGGTACAAAATGACCCAGCAGGAGACAATAAAATTCTAGGAAGAAATGTTAGTAATGGTTAAAAGTATTTATGAAAATGTGACAAAGAGTCATAAGGAGATTATGGGAATATTTAAAGATAAAGATGTGAAAGTAGAAGACCCATAACAAATGGTGGGAACAGATGAACATGATACACAGAAGACAGATGAGAAATTAGTAGGAGTGGTGGAGATAAAGCAAAATAAGTTACAAGAAGACAAAAATAAGTTACAGGCAGACAAAAACATTGAAAAAACAGCAACAATAAATACTAAGAATCAAATAGATAATCCCTTAAGAGTTTACAATAGAACAGAGAAAAAAAAAGGAAGATTTCAAAAAAATAATCAAAGGGGTTATAGATGGGTATCCAAAAGATGCAGCAGAAGGAGATAAGGGGTAAGGCAGAGGGAACACTCAGTCTATTCAAAAATGTTAGAAAGAAATATAGGATCCCAAGAGAGAAATATAAAAGAATCACCAAAAAGTCAATAAATAATAAAATTCTAAAAAGGCTGAGAGAAGATGGATAGAGACATAATATCTTGCAATATAGTGACTATTAAAAAAAACCCAATAGAAATATGTGGAAAGTATAAATTGGGAAAATAGTAGCACATATATAGATATATAATAGAATTTATTATAACCATAAATATACTAAGATTAGGAGGTGGAAGACTATGATTAGGTATATCTAAATGTATTATGATTAACAGTGTGCAAAAAATATACTGAGTTTTATAGTTTACAAGGATTATACATTCAGGGGATTTAGAGATATAATCCCGAGACTGACTAAATCTTATTAATAATTTGTTTTATTGGTATTTATAGAAAACTGAGATATTGAAAATGTGGTGGAACCAAAATCAGCAACATACAAGGAAAATAGTTATAAAATGTTCTATAGATGGCACCTTCCCCCTTTGAGATTGGCAAAGATGTACCCCAACATGAGTCCGAAATGCTGGAAGTGCAAAAAAAAAAGGACGGAACATACTACCATATGTGGTAGTCTTGTATAGAATCCCAAAAATATTGGCTGAGAATTAAAAAATGGTTGGAGGAAATTACAAATGAACAAATTGAACTAAAACCAAAATTGTTCTTATTAGGGATATTTAGGGAAAAGTATGCAAAAAAAGTTAAATACATAATATTACATATATTGATGGCAGCCAGACTGTTTGAAACAGCCCTATACTTCACCAGAGGAATTGATAACTCAAAAGATGCGTTGTGCAGAAATGGATAAATTAACCCTAGCCCTAAAGATAAAGAATCATCAGAGTATTACCGTATTTACCGGACTGTAAGCTGCTACTTTTTTCCCATGCTTTGAACCCTGCGGCTTGTACAACAATGCGGCTTATGTATAGATTTTTCTTCGCTAATTGCCATCAGGGGGCACAAAAAACGTGACAGATGCAAGAGGTCAAGGCAAAGAAGACAACACTACCGATAGTTTTTGGCGCACTCGACGCAAGCAGCACGACACGCACGAACGCAAAATATTTTTCACACCCTTCATCATAGAAAGTACACGAAGAAAAGCATATGATGCAGCTTTTAAGTTGAAAGCAATCAATCTGCCTATCCAGGAAGGAAATAGAACTGCTGCACGTAAGCTTGGCGTTAATGAATCAATGGTGAGACGTTGCAGACGTCTGGCTGCATGAGAAGAGCATTCTTCTCTTTCTGTGTAAATATCTCATTTCACAACGTATATATCTGTGGCTTATAGTCTGGTGAGGCTAATATATGTAAAAATATTTTTTTTAAAAATTTAGTGGGTGAGGCTTATATTCCGATGCGCTCTATAGTCTACGGTATACTACGGTATATGAATTGGGATTGTTGGTATGAATGGATTGAGTGAAGACAGACTATATAATAAACGGTAAAGGAAGATAAGTAGTAGCTGTAGTAAATACATATTCGCATTAGATATCAATTGTAAATATTATACAAAAAAGAAGTGAAAAAATGGATCCAGACCAGTCAGTCACTAAATTAGTGGATCAGCAAAATACTGTGGACATCGTATACTTGTCCTTCAGTAAGGCACTTGACAAAATAGACTACAACCTAATTCTTGGTAAGATAGAAACGTGTAAGATAGACAGCATCACTACCAGATGGATTTAGAAGTGGCTGAGAAATCTCACTCTCAACATGTAATCCACAATGGAACTACATCTACATGTACAGAAATATGCAGTGTGGTACCCCAGATTCTGTTTTAGGCCTATTATTCTTCAACATCTTCATAAAGAATTTAGATGAGGGGATAAAACAGGAACTAATCAAATTTGCAGACAACACCAAGTTGGGAAGAATAGATAATACTTTAGAAGACAGGCTCAAGATCCAGAAGGATCTTGACAGGCTTGAACATTGGGCCCTATCTCACAAAATGAAATTCAATGGTGAGAAAAACAAGGTTTTATACTTAGGCAAGAAAAACTAAGTGCATAGGTATAGAATAGATGGTACCTGTATCAATAGCAATAACTCTAGAGAGATCTAGAACTAGAGGACAACCACTTAAATATGAGCCAGCAATGTGCTGAAGTCACCCAAAAAGCCAAAGTAGTTCTAGGTTTCATTAACAGAAAGATATTATCATGGTCACAAGAAGTGTGCTTGTGTGCTTTGGTAAGACCAGTGTGTCCAGTTCTGGTCACCATGATGTAAAAAAAATGTTGAGAATCTAGAATGATTGCAATGAGGAGCAACAAAAATGATGAGTGGGCTGGGTGCTAAAACATTTGAAGAACAGTTCCAGGTATGTCTAGTCTAAGGAAAAGAACTAGGGGTGATATGATAGCAGTGTTCCAATATTTGAGGGGTTGCCACAGAGAAGAGGGGGGTGTCACCTATTCTTCAAAGTACCTGAAGACAAGAAACAATGGATGGAAACTATTCAAGGAGAGGACCAACCTAGAACTAATGAGAAATTTCCTGATAGTGAGAAGAATTAACCAATGGAACAGCTTGCCTCCAGAAGTTATGGGTGCTACATCAATGGAGATTTTTAAGAAGAGATTGGACAGCCATTGGTCTGAAATTGTATAGGGTCTCCTACTTGAGCAGGGGATGGACTAGAAGATCTGCAAGGTCCCTTTTCAACTCTGTTATTTTATTATTTTCAATTTAATTGGCCCATTTTTGTTAAAAGTTTATGAGAAACTAAGGAAGAAACAAGAATTGGTGTGAGCTGAAAATATTTTGATTCATCATTAAGAGCACATGATAGTTTCAAATATTTTGAAAAGTATTCCAAACAAAATACCTGTATGGTGACCACGAAGAAAAGGTGTTGGTTGCAATCTTAAAACACATACACATGCCAAACATTACCTTGACAAGCTTTCTCCACATGGATGAGTTCATCAGGAAAATTCAGGATATCTGGATATTGCAGTTCACATGTTTCTGCCAAGAAATGAAGTAAGGTCATCTTCTGATCAGTTGACTTTGTGTCACGAAGCTAGAAGATATGAACAAGACTACTGGTGAACAATGCACAAGAAGGTGTTTATTATTATTATTATTATTTTCCTCCCCAGGCTTTTTTCCTCACATTTACCTTGCAAATGAAACTAATGTTGAATCCAAAGGCACCAGCATTCATGGAGCCAGAATTCATGTAGTTGCCCACAAGGAGGATAATGGAGAGAAGACTACCAAAGTTCTCACTATTGCGAAGTTCCTCACAGGCTGCTGTAACAGCAACAATATCTGGCTTTAGGTTTTCTACCTGTTCATTAAACTGTAGCTTGAAGAGTATAGCATTGAGTCTTGATAGCAGATGGGAAACCGAACTAATCTGTGAAGAAAAAGAGACACTGTCACACAAAGAGAAATAAGAATGAGAATATCAGCTTAAGGGAAGGAACAAAGGAGATCTGAGCAAGAGAAGACCCACAAAAGTATAGTTGAATTCATTGTCAAAGATTAATTCACTGACTACAATGTAGTAATGTAAGCAACATGAAGTTGAAAGACATCTCTTTATGACATGTATATAGTGTGATTCCCAAGAAATATTAGATGGCTTAAAGGAATTTGCAAATCCTGGAGGTACAAAAATTCAGAGATACAAAAACTGCTAGATAGCAGCAAAACTTAGGGGGAAAAAATCATTTTTTAACCATCTAGTCACTGTCCTGATTTTGCCACTGAGATTTTTTTTTTGTAAAGTTTTTGTTATTTTTAAAACAGATCAATATAATTTCGTGGACAATGTGGTGTCTGAGTGTCATTCATTTTGATACAAAAGCAATATTAATAAAATAAGCATTACTAACTTAATCTGATTTACCTGGTCTAATGTTGTTATACATAATCCTTCATTTTTCAATTGTTCAATATTTGCTACATCCTTCAAGTAGTTATAGCATTATTTTTGAGCATACCTAATAACATCCTTTTTCAAACTTTGCTCTTAACCTCTAATATTCACTTTAAATGTGTTAAATAAAAATATGTATGACAGCATTCTCCCTATTTCTAAACTTTTTATCTATTCTAATTTTTAATACGGCCAATCTTATTTTTAAAAAAATCCTTCCTATCCACCCTCTCTCACTCTTTTAGAAGTTTCACTTCTTTTTTTTCTGGCTTGCCTCCCATACTCCTCCCTTGGGTCCTTGTCTACATCTTTCATATTTAACCCGACCTTTATTTCCCTCCCCAATATTTTTTGCTGCCAGTCCATCCATAAGTCTGCCAAGTCCTCTGTTCTTTTTTCCAAAAATATCTTTCAATTTATTCAATTCCATTTTTCTAAATCCTAGTGTATATTTCCCTAACTTTATTTCACCCAACTGTATGATCTCCTCCTTCTTTTCTCCTTGTTCTATTTGTTGTATCGTCTGCTCTATCTCAACCTCTAAGCTTACAGTTCTCTCCTTTGCTTCCTGGGTTTTATTATCTTGCTTCATTACTCCTTGTTGCACATTTTCAGTCTTTCCAGTTATAGCGTGTAATAAGTCCTTTATCTCCTTGGAATTCCCCATCATTGTATCATAAATGTTTTGAAGTAACATCATTATTTCTTTTTGTGTCTCCAGTTCTTCCTGATGAGCCATTTTGTCTTATTTTTAAAAGTCCAGATAGTATTCAATATTTTGTCAGTAATTTGTCACCGCTCCAGAGTCTATTTTTTTTGACTTCCCAAAGCAAGATTACTTAAAACTTGATATTGTTCATCAGGAAATACAATATTTATAATTCTTTGTGTCCCATAATTAAACAATAGGTTCCATTTATTCAGTCCAGGGGAAATGCTTCTTTAAATCCACTTTTAGGTATCCTCCAGGTTTTCAAAGTTGATCCTCTAGTCACCATAAAGTAGATAAGTATAGAACAGCAGACCTCCAGGTGTTATTTTCCTCTTATCAGAATTGTCCAAGGTCACTTTACCATTCTAGGAGTGTAACATAATATATATCCATTCACCAGTAGATGGCACCTTCATCTTAAAATCAATGTTAAAGGTCCACTTTCAAAAGTCAACATTAAAAATCCAGTTAAAAACTATTCTGCCAGTTGTTTCTTTCAAATTAATTCAAACAAAATGTCCAATAAACAGTCAAATATCCAGCATTTTAAAGTGCTTGTTCAGAGTCCTGCCAGTAAGATTTGTACATCCAGTCTTTCCATATTCTGTAGCTTTTAGGGTGCAATTTTTCTCTGTTGCTCTTTGATCGCTGCTTAAAAGTATTCCAAAGAGTCTCTTTCCTGGATTAATTTCTTTTGGGGAAATCCTTAACAAAAATTAAAAATCACCTCACCCAGCTCCAGTCACTGTCCACTCTCATCGCTCCATCACTGTCTTGGTTTCTTCAGCTGCCCCAGCTTCACAGCAGCCATGATGGCCACCTCTCCTTCATCTTCGGCAAAGAGGGAAGTAACCCTAGGTCCAGCAGGAGAGCCACTGCTCTCCGTGACCAGCAGGGTGCACCTCCTCACCCCTACAGGGTGACTTTAGCCCCTTGAGGGAGCCCTCTGATAAAGAGAATTTGATGTGAGGATGCGGAGCCCCGCTCCCCTGCGCGGATCAGGCAGCGACGTCAGACTGGAAGTCTTTGCCACTGAGATCTAAAAGGCCTGGTAAAACCTATATATAAAAACAAATACATAGCTTTTTTCAGTTGTAATTACAGGAGAACGGAATGGGTAAGAATGGAAAGCGTTCTGTTGTTTCCTCTCCCAAATCCACAGCAATAAAAGTCTAAGAATCTAATCTAGAAAATTTGCAGTACTTACTTAATGAATTTGATATAAAATAATATTTAATATTAGAATAGGAAAAAATAGCATATGGATGATTGGGAAGACCTTGATTGAGTTCAACAATGATGGTAGTGCTCTCTTCTCAGATAAAACCTTGTTGTGTTTTATAGTGGCCTTTAAAGTATAGGAAAAGGGATAAGAGGAATTGAACAACCAGTAGATATATACAAAAATAATTTAATGGACATTAGGGAAATATTGTGGGACAGCTTCCATGACTGGAATCTAAGATTGAGCATAGATGATAACCGCTATGAAAAATAAAAGACCTGCAAGTAGGCTGATCTTTCAAATCACTCCAGTAAAGGAAAGAATGGGAGATCATTCACAACTGCTCTGAATGGCAGCTCATGAGAAGATCATAAAACTTTCATGAAATTGAGCATGAGGAGCTAAAAAAGATTACATCTTTGCTCTCTGCTCTCAAAGCCTTTCATAAGGATAGTAAACCCACTTTCTAATCACACTCAGAAATATTCAATTTAACCACTTTATTGATAGTAAAGATCTTCAAAATGGCAGGCTTAATTTGACATCTGGGGAGTTTCACCTTTTTTGAATTTTAGAATTTTGAACGAGAATTTAAAGTTATACACAACTGGCAAAAACCAAATAAAATAAAATATTTTGATTTAAGAAAGTTTTAAATGGTTTGGGAGAGAGAACTTATTTTTGCTGTAAGATTTGAAAACCAAATATATAATTAAGCAATGTACTTATTGGAAACAACTGAAATGAAAAAGTGAGTCCTTGATTCACAGCAGTTCATTTACTGATCAAAGTTACAAGCACTGAAAAAAGTGGCTTATGACCATTTTTCACATTTACAACCATTGCTGCATTCCCATAGTCAGGTGATCAAAATTTAGACAGTTGCAGTGTCCTGGAGTCATATGATCATCTTTTGCAATTTTCTGACAAGCCAGATTCACTTAACAACTGTATCATTACTTAACTTCAGTGATTCACTTAACAACTGTGGTAAAAAAAGATTGTAAAATGGGGCAAAATTCACTTAACAAATGTCTCACTTAGCAACAGAAATTTGGGGTTCAATTGGAGTCATAAATCGAGAACTACTTCAGTTGTAATTCCATAATTAGTAACTGAGGCTTGATGACAGTTGCAAATGGATACTAGAGGGAACTAAAGGACCAGGCAGAAATGAGTTAAAATGGTTAAGTCGGCTGTAGTTTTTTCTTATCTTAAAACTGAAATATTAATAATAGAAAGGATACAGATTTCAATAGACAAACCTTTAGAAGATGATGAGAAAAACAAAACACATTAAATTTGGATATTATAGTTTGAAGACACGGAAAACCAAAATGGAAATACAAGAGAAATCAAAAAAGGATCTGAACATGGAACAGCTGCAACAAGAAATTCTGGATATTTCTTTATAGGATTTACAAGTTGGCTGGTGAAAGCTCTAAAGGCTCCATTCAAATGCCAAAAAGTGATGAGAGGTCAAATCCTGTGATTCCATAATAATTTTTTAAAGGTCAAAACTGTGGATCAGGGATAATTTCTGGTAATTCCTAATGGACCTTTTGCTATAAACTAGGATTGAAAAGATGATTTCTGGATTGTGTATATCCATAAAAATTAGGCTCTAAGGAGAAGAGTTTTCTTATTTGTAACTTTAAAAAAGGGTGAAAATATATTAACTTATGCTTGGTATGATAAAGGCTAGATGCCACTTCTTCCTTATTACCTATGTTGCTTTTTTCTTTTTACTTTTTTTTCTGCACCTTCTGGATTTTTTTTTCTAGTTTAGTTTCTATTATTTTTTCTGTTTATTAAAAACTTCAGTAAAATTATTAACAAAAAATGAACATAGGAACTGAACAATGTTCACACAAATACTTCTGTTTCTATTTGGAAACCGCTTCTGGACTTTGTGCTTGAGGTTGAACAAAAATGAAACTTTCATTTTGGGTTTTATTGATTAGATAGATCTGTTGTTATAGAGATGGCTAGTTTATTCTACTATGAAAAGTAAAAAGTTGAGGTTTTATGTTACTTCTTATTCTACTGTACCAAAGGGAGTTGGAAGTCAATACATTTTTCTTTTTCTCTTCTCTGCATTTTTCTCTTTCCTTTTCCCTCCCCTATTTTTCCTATTATTTATTCTTGTATTTTTGTATTTTATATTATAAACTAATAAAAAGAATTGACATGGTTAAAAAGGGAAAAAAAGAACTGAACAATGCACATAAATAATACAAAAGGAAGAGAATTTGCACTATAGCATTAGAAATATCTTCTGCTGATTCAGAATCCTAAAATAAACTCAGCAAGATTATTGAGGAAATCAGGGTTAAAATAAGAGACATAAATAAAAGAAACACTATTATTGGTATCTAATAGTGCCATCCAAAAGAGATGATGATGCTTCCAGAAATGTGTCACATATTGGTTCTTCTAGGAAATTCCTGACTTGTCTTGCTGATAATTTGCTTCTTCAAAGAGTGAAGCAACATACAAGTGATCAGCTATCCTTAAATCAATGCTAACCAACCGAGA